CGCTTTTGCGGGATTTGCGAACGCAGCACCAGTCGATCGACTGCAAGTGACCGAAAACCAACCAGTTGCGTTCCAGATTTCCATTGCTTTGTCTTCTGATTGCGAGTTAGAGTCGCCTTTTGCCTCGCTAGCGTTTTAAACTGGATCTGGAAACTCTGCAGTTGGTGCCGTTGGCCGTTCGTAGTCTGCAGTTGCCGCAGTTCGTAAAATAAACACGCGCGCGCGCATGTTTCAACTTATAAACCCGGCGTCGTTTCCGTGCCGTTGGTGATTAACCAATTTTTCTTGCGCCGGCGACGTCGTTCGTGCAGTTGGCGATTTAACCATTGACCAATGAAGGAAAGAGGATCTTTTTGGAAAGATGGCGGACGAACTGTCTCAACAAAAACCTTTTCGCATCCATCGACGTTCCAACCGGASGAAACRAGCGCATGCTGCGTCGCCATAGTGACAAGTCATTGAAACAACCGAGCAGCGGCGCAAACATTGCCAATCCGGCGCGATTTGCTGCGCCTCAGCGCAGGATTAGCGACTCAGTGCGGTTGGAAAACAGGAAATTGCGCAGTTAAGGCTGCAGGATCGACTGCGGGGCAACAAATAAAACGCGTGGATTATCAGGATGTTTTTATTTTCTGGCCCCTGCGGGGCATCAGGCGCCTCAACACCTGCCAGACCACGACAGGGAGCAGCACAATGGGCAGGTACACGTCCAGTAAATAGTACTGGTACCAAGCCAGCTCTAGGGAGGCCACCCTTAAGTGGGGGGCGCCGTTGTGGCGCAGCACGTACTCGATCCAGTACACTGCGGTCGCTAGGGGCGCCACCTCGCGGTCGCGCAGCAACTGCGACTTCCTGCGCGCCGCCTCGCGGTACCTGCCCCCACCCCAAACAAACCCCGTCAGTTCCGCAATGGGCCGTTCAGCTCAGGCGGCGCTCACCTCGGATTCCCCAACACCTCCGCCACCATGCGGCCGAAACTGGCCACGTTGATGCTCTGCCAGGGCAGGATGCGCCCGAACCCTTTCGTCTCCGCATAGATGGCGTTCATGCGCTGATCGCCGAAAATCGGGATCGCGATTATCGGCACCCCATAATGCACCGTTTCGATCGTGCTGGCGAAGCCGCCGTGCGTGATGAACAGGCGCACGTTCGGATGCGCCAGCACGTCCTGCTGCGGAAACCACGCCCTCTGCATGACGTTGGCGGGCAGGGGCGTGGCCGGCGGCTCGTCGAACTTCAGCAAGATGCGCTGCGGCCGCTGCGCCAACACCTCGAGGATGGCTTGGCGCATGGGCGCCGGCAGGTGGCTGGTGTTCACGTTGCTGCCCAGGCTGAAATAGACCACGCCCTCGGCGGCCTGGTCCAGGAACGCCTGCAGCTCATTGGGCAGCGGCGCGGGCGCCTTCACGTGGAACCCACCTGCGATTGGTCAACGTTGATTGGGGTGGGGGGCGCGCGCGTGCGCACTTACCGATGTGCTTCATGCAGGGCACGGCCGACGTGGGAAAAGCGATGCTTTCGTGCGTGTTCATCAGCACCAGGGAGACGTTGAAGAGGGCGTCGGACAGGTCGACGGCGTTCGGCACGTACTGCCGCAAGAGGGCGTTCTGGCGCGGGTAGAACACCAGGTGCTGGTTGGCGTTGTAGAGGGCGTTTACGAGGGCGTTGGTGGCGCGCTGCCAATACGTCATGCTCGCCGGGTAGCTGAGGATCATCTCGGGCGTGTAGCTGGGCATCGACGGGTTGCCCACCAAATGGTTCACCTGCTCGAATATTTTTATTAATTTCGCCCCGAAAAATCGGGCCTAAAGCCGGCCCTGTGGCGCCAGCCCAGAGGTGATCCGAGCGGCCGCACTCGACTAGTGCGCTCTTTGTCTGGCGCATGGCGCCTGGCGGCCGGTTGTTGTGACATTTGTCGCGAGTGACGCGCGAAGCCCACAGGGTCGGACTGGGCGCGATTCGAGTTTTGAAACTTTTTGCCGATTTTTGACAAAAATTCGTTAATAAGTTTGCTCACCCAGGTGCTGGTGCCCACCGAGCTGAACAGGATGAGGTGGCCGCCGAAGTGGTGCGCCATGCCCTTGAGGGCGTCGTTCATGAACTGGCCGACGACGACGGCGTCGAACCGCTCCCCCGAGTGGATGAGCGCCTGGAACGCGGCATGTTGCAACGTGCTCTCCGTCTGCTTCAGGCCGATCTTGTTCATCACGTAGATGGCGCTCAGCGGGTTCATCGAGGCGCGCTCGAACAGGTTGATGCCGCGACGCCGCTCTACGCACACAAACAAGCTGGTGAGTGGTCATCAGCGCGCTTATCTCAACGGGGAATTTGGCGATTTTTAGGACCTTTCTGCGCCTCGGCGACGCCCGTCAAGACGATCTGCCGGTAGCTGCCGTTGCCGGCGCTCTGGTAGGGCTCGTGGAACGGGCTGACGATGGTGACCTGGTGGCCGGCGTCGCTCAGCGCCCGCATCAGCGTGCTCTCCAGGATGTAGTGGCTGCGCCCGGGCGTCGGGAAGATGCCCAGGATCTTGGCGCCCAGCGCCCCGCTGCCACAATTGCGTTATCAGCCAATCGCCCGCCGTTTTCGGCCCCCCCGTTACCTGAGAATGAGCAGCAGCGTCCAGCACTGCAGCGCGCGACTGTTGCCCGACAGCATTTCGGGGCGGTACTGCGACTCGATGAAGTGCTGCTTTGCTTGGTGAGTGCTTTATCTCGATTGGGCATGACTAGCATGCGAATTGGTCCCATGCTGTGCTACAAAACCGGATTTTGCGTCGTTTCTGCATGGTGTCTGGACTGGATGGTGGATGCGCCCCGCTGGTTGCCAAGCCTAGCGGGTGGCCGCTGATTGCTGATAACGTGAGTGCAACCGACGCTGCACCGCTCTGGCTGTTGCTGGAGTTCGTAAGGTGTCTCTTCTCTGGGCGAAATGGTGGATGCGCCCGCAAAATAACGGAATTTTTTTCGGAACTCGATTGAATAATTTTCTCGTATTGTGAAAATGAAGCCTAGTTCTCATACGCGAAAAAGTTGAAATTCAATAGTTCTCATATGCGATTATTTCTTGCTGAAAAAAGCAATAATTTTGACTCATCGTGTTGGTGTCAGTGATTGGTAAAAGCCCACTTTTTCGTTTAGTATATATATTAGTTAATATTGAGCACATTTAATTTTAAAGAAACGAAGAATAAGTGTTTTCATGTGTGTAGATTTTATTCAATTTTTGACATTCGACCAAGGAGTTTCGGAAATACGTAAAGCGTATGCTGAGCTTGAAAAAATTGAATAAAATCTACACTGAAAGTGTGCACAGCGTAAAGTGCATCCTAATTTTTCTCCTGCATCTATAGGATCTCGGCTTTTACAGTTTTTAGCGATATGAGGTCCAACTTGAATTGATAACTTTGATAATAAAATATCGAATAGTTCTTTCGACATTCCCATGTAATTGAAATGTTTTTCTCGATCTTGAAGACGCATTCCTTGAATAAATTATAACAAGCTTCTTGTTCCGGTCTTCGTTGGAAAATCTCTCTAATGTGTTGTGCAATAACATTACGTTGAATTTACATAACCTATAAAATTCCTCCGACTTTCCGAATAATCGGAAAAAGTTGGATTAATTTCAACTTCTTCCGACACCTGTGAAATCGTCCGATTATGCGGAATTTTGTTCCGAACATTCGCTTATGCGAACTAGGCTTAACGTGAAGAACTCAGCAACGGGAAAAACGTTTTTGAAAATTGCAAAAAAATGAATTGAATAAGTGCGCTTGAAAAACAGAAAATATCGCCGGAACAAGATCACGGCTCGATGACTGGACCGCGCCCAGTTTCCCCGGATTTAATCGGTGGGTGCAACCAACGCTTCACAATGACCACTTATCAACTCATGATTGCCATAAATAACGCTAATTTTAGCGGAAAATTACCGTAGCCTGTGGGCATTGGCCACAGTTGATCTCGAATTTGCGCAAACAATAGGAATTCTTCGCGCGTAATCAATTTTTCCCACTGTAAACCTTCCGATAAAGTTTGCGTATGCGCATCTAAGCAAAATTTGCGTACATTTGGTCAGTTGATCTCTAATTTGCGCAAATCGCAGGGATTTTCGTAAAACAACAATTTTGAAATTTGAATTTAATCTGTGGGTGCAACCAACGCGGCCCCGCTTGAACGGCGAAAATGCGCATGCGTCACCCGTAGTTGCCAGCTGGTCGCCTAGATGGCGCCGGTGATACGTCCGGTTGTGTGTCGCGTGACGTTTAGGTTATGTGTGTGTTTGTTTGCTTGGAGTGTTTATCCATGTAAAATGACCGGCAAAAAGAAGGTGCGCAGCCCCGCAGGGCCCCCTTGGCCGCGCCCACTAACCGCCTTCGGTTGCAGGCCAGTTCAACCGAGTCGTCGACAGCGAGCAGCTCCGGATCGTCGTCCTCCAGCTCCTCGTCCAGCGGATCGGACTCGAGCTCCTCCAGCGACTCCGAGTCGTCCAGCTCGCAGGCCGGCAGCGAGAAGAAGGCGGCAGCCTCGCAGGTGGGCTAAAGATGCAAAGCGCGTGGTGGTTTAATGTGGCTGTCTGTTGCTGTAGAAGGGTGGGCGCAAGGGCGCCGATGCAGCCAAAGCGGAGCCCAAGGGGGCCCCCCGGCG